CGAGACTCGCCGGCCCCGCCACCCCCAGGTGCGGCACCGACAGTCAGGGCAGGTCATGGTGCTGAAAATGAACAGGCTCCCCAGTAACCGGGGGAACACGCTCCGGGAGGTGCAGCTGATGAACCAGCTCCAGCACCCCAACATCCTAAGGTGAGCAGCCCCTGCGCTTGCTGGGATAAGGGGGAGGATCCCGCCGGAAGAGTGGAGACTGCGGAGAGGCCGAGTGCCTTACAGCCTTCCCCCCACCTCCCCTCCCCTCCAACAGGTTCATGGGGGTCTGTGTGCACCAGGGGCAGCTGCACGCTCTTACCGAGGTGAGAATGGGCCAGGAAGCGGGGAGAGGTCAATGGCCTGGTGCTTCTGCTGAGGAGCAGTGAGGGCAGCAGGACCTCCTCCCGGGGAGTCTTCCCTAAACTTCCCCTTGGGCAGACCGCGAAAGGCCCCAGCCGTTCTCATCCTCTCCTCCAATAGAACTTTCTGCCCTGATGCAGATGTTCTATATCTGTTCTGTACAAAACTGTGAGCATGGAAATGTGGCTAGTCTGAGAAACTGAACCTTTAATTTTATCTAAACCTACTACCTTAATTTTAAATAGTTGCGCATGTATTGGACAGGACAGCCCTAGAATGTGAATTTGGAACCCTGGAGCACAGGCCCACCCCTCTGACCTTTGTGATCCTCCCGAGTGTCCCCTGGCTTATAGGTGGGAGACTAGAGTACAGACGGAAGCCTTGGCATTCATGCCCCTTCTCCTCCCATCTGCCCCAGTATATGAATGGGGGAACCTTGGAACAGCTGCTCGGCTCTCCTGAACCCCTCTCCTGGCCTGTCAGGCTCCGCCTGGCTCTGGATATCGCTCAGGGCCTGCAGTACCTGCACGCCAAAGGTGTATTCCACCGAGACCTCACATCCAAGGTAGGCTGGCCAGAGAGGTAGAGGCATGAGGGGGTTGTGAGACGACTGGGTTGTAACTAGCCTATGGATGTTAGAATGTGGATAATAAGTATGTTAGGAGGTTAGAGTAGCAAAGCAGTGGCGGACTGGGGCGAGGGGGTTGCTCTGAGGGCTAAGTACCAGGCTGTGTTTGGAGTGATAGATGATGTTGCAAGATTGGGGTGCACTGGAGAACCGGGAGAGGGTTGGGGTTATTCTGGAGTGACAGAGGTTTGGGTTATAGATTGGGAGATCGAAGAGCAGAAGGTGATAGGTGTGTGGGATACTGTATGTGTATGTCAGAATTGTCTGATCCGTCGGGAAGGCCGAAGCTTCACAGCTGTTGTGGGTGACTTCGGGCTGGCTGAAAAGATTCCTGTGTATAGGTGAGCTGAATGCCCGTTCCCCCAAACCTCCCAGAAGGCCCCTATCTAAATGAAGCCCCCTGGGACGTTTCCCCTGGGGTGGGGAGAGGGGGCCAGCCTCATCTCTTTTTGTTTGGGGAGGATGTCTGAGTGGGATGTTTCTGACCACTCTGCCCCTGCCCTGCAGGGAAGGGGAAAGGAAGGAGCCATTGGCTGTAGTGGGCTCCCCGTACTGGATGGCTCCAGAGGTGCTGAGGGGTGAGCTATATGATGAGAAGGTAAGATGTCAACCCCTCAGGTCCCCACGGTCTTCCAGAGACCCTGAGATACTCCTATAAGTTCCTATCCCAAGTTCCTCAACACCGTTCCAGATATTCAGGAGGCCCCCAGGACACCCACCCCCTTGCCCCTCACAGGCACCCCTCCAACTCACAGAAACTGTCAAGACTCCCCCGTGAATTCTGACATATTCTAACTAAATTCTGACATGAAAACTGGCAGTTCCTCCCCCTAACATCATCTCCTACCCGCAGGCCGATGTCTTTGCCTTTGGGATTGTCCTCTGTGAGCTCATCGCACGAGTACCTGCAGACCCTGACTACCTGCCCCGTACTGAGGTGAATGATGTCCCCAGGTTTGAAAAGGAGGACCTCCAGACTGGGAAACATAACCAGGAAGGGTTCCCTGGAACTTGAGGTCCTGATTGGGGCAGAAGGAGAACCCAAGGAAAGTTGACTTGGAGGCCCTTTCTGTCCCCACAGGACTTTGGCCTGGATGTGCCTGCTTTCCGGACCCTGGTAGGGGATGACTGCCCACTGCCTTTCCTGCTCCTGGCCATCCACTGCTGCAGTGTAAGAGCCTCACCCTCCCTGCCCTCCGCCCCACCCATCAGCTGACCAGGCTGTCCTGTCCCAGGTGATAGATGGAGAACTCAGGGACCCGCTTTTGGAGCACTGAGTGAAGCTGCCCCTGTCTCTACCCATCAGATGGAACCTAGTGCCCGTGCTCCCTTCACCGAAATCACCCAGCACCTGGAATGGATCCTGGAGCAACTGCCTGAGCCAGCCCCCCTCACCAGGGCTCCCCTGATGCACAATCAGGGTAAGTGAGCATGACTTTGACCCAACTGGAGTCCCTTTGCCTCTCTCCTCCTTAGAACGCAGGGAATTATCTGGGGGAGATTCAGTGTATTTGTTAGTTGAGAAGGCTGGGGATAAGGGTGGGGGTGAAAAACCATCTCAAAGAAGATAGTTTTCTAATTCTAGAGCCGTAAGGAAGGAAAAAGGTAAAAAAACCCAACTGGAGTCCCTTTGCCTCTCTCCTCCTTAGAACTCAGGGAATTATCTGGGGGAGACTCAGTGTATTTGTTAGTTGAGAAGGCTGGGGATAGGGTGGGTGTAAAAGGACATCTCAAAGAAGATAGTTTTCTAATTCTAGAGCCTTAAGGAAGGAAAAGGTAAAAAGTGGCTGGAGGTGACGTCTCCTTTCCAAAGCACCCTGTCAGACTCCCTTTCTAAGTTCTAGTCCCACCAGCCTCCTGGTGAATAATGAGACATAGAACAAGGGTGAGGAGCCATTATTCTGCCAAGGGCCATTTGGATATTTATAACATCATACGCCAGCCATGCAAAATTATCAACTTGAAAACTAGCCTGCTATATTTGGTCAAACATTTAATTAACTCACCCTTAATGCCTTGGCAGGGTCAGACCAAACGATTTCGTGGGCCTTATATGCCCCACGGGCCGGACGTTCCCCACCCCTGCTCTAGAAGCTGTCAATACTGAGAAGAGTGATCACAGACTTCTCTGTTTACAGGGTCTGTTCCAAGAGGGGGTCCCTCTGCCACGCTTCCCAGGCCAGACCCTCGGCTCTCCCGAAGCCGATCAGACCTCTTCCTGCCCCCATCACTAGAATCAACCCCCAACTGGGGGGACAATCTGACTCGAGTCAACCCCTTCTCACTGCGGGAAGACCTCAGGGGTGGCAAGATCAAGCTCCTGGACACACCCAGCAAGCCAGTCGCCCCCTTGCCCCTTGTACCACCATCACCACTGGCCTCCACCCGGCTGCCCTTGGTGACCACTCCGGAGACCCTACTCCAGCCTGGAACACCTGCCCGCCGCTGCCGCTCATTACCATCATCCCCTGAACTCCCCCGACGCATGGAGACGGTACTGCCAGGTCCTGGCCCTCCCTCTGTGGGCCCCTTGGCTGAAGAGAGAATGGAGTGTGAGGGCAGTAGCCCTGAGCCAGAACCCCCAGCTCCCCAGCTGCCCCTGGCTGTGGCCACAGACAACTTCATCAGCACTTGTTCATCAGCCTCCCAGCCCTGGTCCCCTAGATCAGGACCTCCCCTTAACAACAACCCCCCAGCTGTGGTGGTGAACTCCCCACAGGGCTGGGCCGGGGAGCCCTGGAACCGGGCCCAGCATAGCCTGCCCCGGGCAGCAGCGCTGGAGCGGACAGAACCCTCGCCGCCCCCTTCAGCTCCTCGAGAGTCCGACGAGGGACTACCCTGCCCTGGCTGCTGCCTGGGCCCCTTCAGCTTTGGCTTCTTGTCCATGTGCCCCCGCCCCACACCAGCTGTTGCTCGCTACCGCAACCTGAACTGTGAGGCGGGCAGTCTCCTCTGCCACCGAGGGCACCGTGCCAAGCCACCCACACCCAGCCTTCAGCTGCCTGGGGCACGCTCTTAGCAGTGGGGCCTCCAGCTTTGGACTCCAGGATGCCCTGTGAGGACTGCACATGCTCGACAGTGCCAGCCCCAGATGGGCTGACCAGCTGCTCCGTATAGGGGAACCTCAGCATGGACTCAAGGGACAGAACATTTCCTATCCAACCCCTGGGCTTGCTGTCCCAGGGGGATCACACAGCATTGCTGACACACGAGACTAACACGTGCAAATTATTTAAAAATATTTCAATAAAACTGCCTGGCTGGCTCCGGGCTGCCCCTATCCGCTCAGCCCGTGCGCCCTCCTCCCCTCAGCCCCCCCTTCCACCATGGGAGGTTCTTGGGGAGGCCAAAATCTCTTCTGTACCCTTTTCCCAGAATAGTCCAGTTTCTGGGACAGGATTTCAGGCAGACAGCAGGCTACCCAGAAGTGTTGGGCGTAGATCAGCCCTTGGCCGGGCACCATCCAGGCAGCTTGAGGAAATGCTGGAGAGAGAGAATCATAGGACCTGTGGCTGCAGGTTAGGGATGAAGGGCACAGGCTCTTGTTGGCATGAGGATCTGGAAGAGTAAAATATCAATGAGCTCCACTGTTGACTGTCACTAAGAACCCTCATCCAGCTCCCGGACAGTCATCACCAGCCTCCCTTCAGTTCCAAGCCTTCCCTGCCCCTCTCCCTGTGCAACACCCCCTTACACAAGTATACCAAGCTCCTGGAGGCTGTGGACATGGCTCACTCCCAGGAGCAAGTCGTGTGTCCCCACCCCCTGCTCCCAGCAGCTGGACCCCTGCTCTGAGCCCCTGTCCTCCCAGGCTCCCAACCCTCACACTTACTCAGCTCAGTGGTAATCTGGACGCCTAATAGATGGCATCTCACAGATGCAGGGAAGAGAAGTAACACAATCTGTCTGGTATTTTGGCCACTTGTTTTGTACAGAGAAACATACTTTGTTTTCAATATAAAACCTAAAGAGTGATAAAGTAGAACTGGGATAGGCTCTGGCCCCCACCGCTCCCCTCCCTCCTCTCCCCTTACCCTGCATAATACTTAGCCCAAGTCCCAACTCACCCTACCTACCTAGGGCCACATTTGGGTATGGGTCAGGGACAGATGTCTAGACTCCAAAGAGCCTTTAGGACCAGGGGAGGGAAGAATCACCCAAGGTCTTAAAGATGGAAATTCCAGTTAGAGAACATAGGTGACCTGTTTCGGGGTCCCTGGTTGGTCCTCAAAGTTACCTCACTGCCCCTTCCTCTCCTGGAGCAACACTAGTGCCCGAAGTGGTCGTGACTGAGAAAGTAAACCTCCGCTTGGGTAGCCTTTTCAAGGGAGTGGGAATGCCAAGGCTCTTCACCAGCTGTGAAGCCCTAGCTTCTGAGAGAAAAATGACATGGGGCCCAGTCTAGTAATTAATAAAAATAAAAGCACGTGCCAGGGGCTGCTATCTGGGGGTAGAATAGAGAACAGAATGCCCTAAAGAGTTTGTAATAGAGGAAACAGACAGGCAGGCAATTTCAGTATTGACTTGTGAAAGGTTTGGGAGCAGACCTGAAGGGAGATCTCATTACTATGTCTTTTTGAAGGGATTATAAAGTTGAAGATCCCAAAAGTCCTAACAAACTTACCCAGAGACTCTTCTAGCCTCAGTCTCCTGCCTGTCCTTAAACCTGGTGTCAATCCAATATGAACCAGACCGATCAGCTTGTTCCAATACCTTATATACACTGCTGCCACGATAACCCTGAGGGGAGATTCAGAGATATGTGGAGAGTGATGAGAAATAGTGGAGGGGGGGGAGGGGTACAAGAGGG